ATACTTCCCAATCCTTTGAGCGACATCTAGTGGATGATCTTTGAAAAAAATACAGCATTTGTTTCTGTGGTATTTTTCCAATGTGAAGGAAAGCGAGAAGCCATTTGACCCTCACTTCTTTCTAGGTGTTCAGTAAAATGGCCTGAGATGGATATTTCAGGATCTGGGTTGGAAATACCACAGAGGTCAAACAGACGCTCTTGTTGCTGATTAGCATTCCTTCGGGGGCTCTGTATCACTGTTTGATCTGTTTGTCACTTATTAGCACTGGGATAACAGGCAAGTTTCTTCTCTTGGCCTCAGTGTTCTCAGCTATGAAATGTATCTAAAAATAGGACTTGCCTTAAGGTGTCACTGCAACAGCAAATGAAATGATGCCCGTGGAGGACTCAGTACAGTGCCTGGCACACAGCAAATACCAGTGTTCTAACTAACACTGGCTCGTTTACCCTTCATCCTGCCTGCAGGGTCTACCTGTGGAAAAAATGCTCTTGGAGGGTAGCACAGTCTGGTTTGTCCAGACAGTTCCCAGATATTATGATGAAGTGGTATCATTTTAAGATGCATCCTCTAAAAAAAATTAACACCAGATATTTTCTCTCTCTCCCGTAGTCTAATCAAGAAATGGGAATACATAATCTAGACCCAGCAAAGATGTTGTAAAAAACTTTTAAGATTCTTAATAACACCTGACACTTAAAAGGAAATTTGGAAAAACTGCTTTTCCAGGTCTGGGTTAGAAGTTGTTGCCTTTCACCGAAAAGATTGGTTGTATGATTTTCTAGACCAGCGATGGTGAACGTTTTAGCACTTTCAGTGGTACCAGAGCCCACTGAGGCATTCCTGCCGTATGTTTGCCGCCCCTGTTCTAGACCTTCCATTCTCATTTCATGAGGCTCTTTGGAAAGAAAGAGCGTGCATCCATGCTCTGCAGGGTGTTACAAGTTTCTTCCTGTGAAGTCTGCTTTAGAAGGGAGCACTTTTTGAAAAGAGGGAAGAAGGCTTCTGTGCATGTTAGGCAAACTTAGCTTAAGGCCTAAGTACTCTGTGAAGCAAAAAGTATGTTTGCTAACGTGTTTCAGCTCCTCTGGTTTGGCTGGGATCCCTAAATAGACTCTATCCCTAAGCAGGCCGGGCTGTAAGCAGGCATGTAAAAGCTGGCTGCACACTCTGGGGAGCTGGGCTCGGGTGGCAGCTCGCCTTGCAAAGCTTCCAGAGCCCCCCGCCAGGGACCTTGTGCTGCAGGGGTGACTGGCCTAACAGCACCAGCAGAGAGCGTGAGGTATCTGCAGCTCTGCTTGGCAAGCGGCCCTGGGCACCCGGGTCCAGTCATGAGTCACAGCGACTGGCTGAGGGGCAGATGGGAGGATGGAGTCTGGAGCTCTGGGCTGTGTGTGCCAGCCTGCCACATTCTCACCCATGTGGCTTTTGTGCGTCCCTTCCTCAGTGGTGAATGGGATCAGCCCCTTGCCTACGGTCGCAAGACTGAAAGGACAGACTCTATAAATTCTACAAGCCACTGGGGGCCAGTGGATGGCCCCTCACCCACTGCCCCAGCCTCCTGAGGGGTGGGCCGTCCGCCCCCTCATGCTGTGACCGGGGAAGCCGTCCCACGACTGGCCACTGATGAGCACAAAAACTTGAAACATGCCAGTCGCAACAACAGTTTAACATTTTACTAAATCAATTCACACAAATTCCAAATTGCAAATATAATTAAGGACAACAGATTCTGTTCTGCCTTTTAAATCTTTCATTTTCAAATCCATCATTAAGACAAAAAGTAAATAAAAATTAGGTCTGTTGCAAATTCATGATTTTTCTTCTGAGAAAAAAAATTATAGTAAAAAGAACGCCACTGGGTGTACAATAAAGCACCACAACACACGGTTACAGACAGGGCTTCCTGGCTTCTGCGACGTGTAAAAGGGACCGTTCTCCCCACTGCTCTGCGTCAATCAGGATTTCATTAAAATAAAACTATAAAATCTCCTAGGTTACACTAAGTCAGACACAGTCTGGAACACAGTGCTTAACAACAGTAATGCCAACTATCAGTGCTAACGTAAAAACATTTTAGAAGGTCAAAAACAATTAAACTGGAAACCAAAACCTTATTTTCCCTAGATGAGCAAAACTGAAAATGAAAGGGTTCTCGCCTCCCAGTAAAAGTGAAGGGGATTTTTTTCTTTTGAAGGGGGTGGGCTGGGGTGGGGGACAGCATGGGTTGGCTCTGGAGCTCTTCAGCCTAGTTGGCATCCAGCTTGGCCATTTCCTGCACGTAGATGCCTATACTCTCACTGTCAAAGAGCACGAAGTACACCGTTTTGATGGAGGAGGACATGGTGGACACAAAGTAACTGGAGATGGCCTTCAGAATGAGCTGGGCTGCTGTCTGCTTCGGGAACCCATTCCTGCAGGAGAGAAAGCAAACACTCAGCAGCTAGGCAGCCACTATGATGGGGGACCTGCCCCTTCCCTGCACCCCCTCCCACAGGAGGCCCTAAAGCTGGGCCCGTGTCCACTGAGCTGCTTGTGTGAGGAAGCCCAGTGCCCACGGAATGGAGGACAGGCAATGGCAGAGAGCTGACCCATGCAGCAGTGAGCAGCAAGCTTTCTGGCACCTGGGAGGTTTTCTGAAAGGCAGCCAGCAAGCCGTAGGAGGGTGTTTTGTGGTGAGCATTACGTTGTCCAAGGGTAGTGCAAGCTTTTCCCATCATCCCTGCCACTAGTGCTGTGCCTGGACCACACAGCCAGGGCTCCTGATGGCCCAGTGGGTGTCGGCCTCAGAAATGGCTGGAGGGTCTTTAGGAAGGCACCCAGCTTGGCTGCTGTCCCCCGACACTCTTCACACCAACCTTTAGATTTCATGGCTGCAAGTACTGCTGGACTACACATACCTCCCAACACATACCAGCTGGTGCCACCCTAAATACCAGGGCATCAGGGATGGGGACAGAACAACTCAGGGCCGAGTGGCCTTTTCATCTTGGGGACAGTATCCAAGTCTCCAAATGGACTGGAATCCATATATGTGATAACTTGAAGTAATTTTTAGAGAGAGGAGCTCAGAACTTACATGGAAGGTGAACTCAGGACTGAGACTTGGCGCTCATGGATCTGTGTGTGCCTGAGCCTGCTCCCAGTCAACACTAACAACCCAGGGCACCCAAAGGAAAGTGGTACAACCAAGGCAGCTTGCCCGTTCCGGTGGAAATAACCTGAACTTGGAGCCGGTGACCCTGGACTCAAGTACCTGGTGATCCCATTATGCAGTTCATCACACTGAGGGAGAGGGCCCACTTCACAGGGATTTCTTTGTTCACTGGCACATCTGCAAACCTGCTGGCCTCTGAAGTATGAGCCCAGCCTGCCATCTGGGCTGGTCCCTTGTTAGGGGGATCCCTGTGGCCAGGTGAACACGTCTGCAAACAGGTGCAGTGAGAATGTTTCCGTTTTAAGGCATGGGTTGTCCCCTGGAGAGCTGGAAGCATTCCGCTGCTGTCAGTGCTGAGAGCACTGCCGGCCCACAGGAGGAAACTGTTCTGGGATTTGCTGTGAATCATACAGAGCTTCGCCCACAGCTTGGAGTGGAGACACCGGAGTTCTGGGCGCTTCAGGAATGGAGCACCTTCTTAGAGGACGGGGGCAGGGGTGGGGGTTGCCCCAGGACATGCTCCCAGCCTAAGGGCATTTAGTGGGGTGTTACCTGGGTCAGGGCTCCCTCCCACACAGATGCTCCTCAGTACATGTGCACAGTCAGTGCACACAAGGCAGCCAAGCCGAGAATGGCTCAGAGCTCTCGGGACCTTCTAGTTTTCTCCCAAGAGACCCTGCTGGCTCCAGACAAACAGCTGAGCTCAGCTGGAGAGGGTGGGGACTGTGTAGGAAGAAGTCTTCCAGGAGAGCGGGCAGCGAGCCCGACACCCATGCCTACTCTCAGATCTAAAAGCTCAGCCTGCTGCAGCCGCTGTGACTGTCGTCACAGGCATCGAGAACGCAGAGGGCAGGTTTTCTGGAAGGTACATGTCAGGAATGGCTGGAGAAAGTCAATTTGATCTTCCATTTTAGGAGGGTCCTCCCAGCAGTGCAAGCTCTGTTCAGTTGCGGCTGGGCTCCCCTGTGCTGGGGCCAAGGGAAGCCAAGGGCTTCTGGAGTTGGCAGGCTTCTGTGTGCAGACATTACCTAGGTGCATAAGGACTGAGAGCTGGGAGGACCATGCTCCCCCAACTCCATACTGCCCCAGCAAGGGTCCCTTCCTGCCCGTCCTGCCTCACACCTGCACAGGTAAGCTGGGCTGAGGGAGGGCCTGTGGGACTGTGTGGAATGGCAGTGCGTCATTTGAACTAATGGGCCCAGCTTGTCTCTTTCTGTGTCTGCCTTGAAGCCTCCCAGGAGCTGGTCTGCACAGTTCACGGCGGCTCTAACTTTAAGTACCATGCTGTGGTGTGACGCATACAGTGTGGCCCTGGCCCATTCTTTCCTGCTGAGTGGGAGGCTCAAGAGCTTCCCTGGAGCACCCAAAGTAATCTAGTCACTCCTGCCTGGGCCCAGCACTTCTGACACAGGCTCTCCAGTCTTCTGCCTTGGACCCCTGAAAAAGGTGTGAGACTTTCACTGAGGGAATATTCTTTTCTGTTCTTCTACATTCTCAAACTCTAGCCAGCACCAGAGAGAAGGAGGGCTTGTTGGAACTCAGCTTGTCAGGTGCTACCTGGAGTTTCTGATTCTGCAGGTCTGGGGACCACTCTGAGGACCACTGTTCCACACAGAGCCAGCATATATTTTATAAGCAGAGCTCACACAGTACTAACCCACAGGTGAGGGGGAAGGTAAGGAGCAAAGGTTTTAGATCAGCATTACCCACACAGGCACAACCTCCTGTTAAGAGGCTGTCGTGCCAGAATATACCCAATCTTTAAGGTTGCTGATGCAAGTTCATGAGTCTGAATTCGTTTCTAGGAAAATCTTATGTTGACAAAGCCATTTCTCTGTCCTAGGAAACCACAAACTAAGCAAGTGCCATGAGACTGGGAGCTCGAGACCATGCAGGCTGCCAGCCAGAAAGGCAGAGGAAATGGCTTTCCTGATGTTTTCAGGTAGGCCCCCAAAATGTCTCCTAGTTGCCTCAATTAGATGCATTTGTAACACAGTGGGATGCACGAGAGGCTCTCATTCACGCTTTATACACAGCCCCACGCTCTCATGCAGCAGTACGGGCAAGCCAGTCCCAGTTTTGCTGACGTACAGCTGGCCTGACAGCTCTACCATCCCAGGGCAGAGAAGTTGAGCAGTTAGGAGCTCTGGGGTTCCTGGTGCCACACAGGATCTGAGTGTCAGCCCTGAATCTGCCTGGTCTTGGCGTGCTCAGGAATGAGAGGCACAGTATGGAACAAAATGCCATTAAGCGCCAAGTGCCCATCTTTTAAGTGGATGGTCTGAGAGGGTCTTTCTAAAGGCTAACACAGTGAAGCACGGCCACCCCACCTCACGTCCTGTGACAGCAGTGCATGGGTGACTGTTAGTCCAATCTACAATGCCCAGGTGTTCGGGAGAGCTATCAGCCCTGGTGCTGCACGCAGCCGCACAGCACAGGCTCTCTGGTGTGGTGCTGGCCTGCTGGCTGCCTTGCGAGAGCCTCCTGTCCACTTTTCAGCTTTGGCTTCTGGCTGGCTGGTTCCCTCACTGGTTGCATAACCACCGTCTTTCTCAATGGCTGTTCCTGCTTAGCCAGGTCTCTGTGACTTCCTCTCCAGCTCTGTGACAGTCACCTGCCCTCTGGCTGCACTGTCTGCCTTTTAGAAGGGAACAGATGCCACAGAGTAAGAGGGTAAATGGCTTCGGTTGCAGAATCAGATTTGGGTTTGAATCCCAGCTGCCCTGGGGGGCGGGTATTGGCCTTGCTAAGCATCAGTTTTCTTCAATGAAATAGGTCCTTTGAGGGTATACTTCGTGAGGATGATGCTTCCCCATCCACGCTCCCTCCTTTTTCAGCCCCACCCTGTCTGTAGGTTGTTTCTGCCTTCAGTTCCACATGGGCCAGGTGCCTCCCAACATAGTCTGGGCCTTGATCACACTACTCCTGCTCAGGCCTTACTCTGTGCAGACTAACACAGGTGTAAGCTGCCCCTGTGTCATGCCAGTTGTGTCCAGAATAGTCTTTCCCCAGATTCCTGGTCCCCATTGCCCTAGACTAGTGTCAGGGGACCCTCTCTCTGTGTGATACGCTCTTGGGTCAGCCTGTTCAGTGATGGCTGTGGTATACACACAGAATGCTTGTCCTCCTTGGATATGTACCTGAGAAAAGGTTCAAGCTCCTCCAGCTCTGCTGAGCCTTCCCTAGTGGCCTCACTAGTACCCCCACTTTCTGGGAACTCACCCTCCAGGGACAGGACAGGCTGAGCTGTGAGCAGCAGGTGTGTGGGGACTGCAGAGGTTCACATGGACAGCAGCTGCAGCCTGGGGAGGGAGGAGCCCAAGCAGTTGTCATGGAGGGACAGGTTGGGAGCCTGCCTTGATGGCTGCATAGGGTGCAGGTGGACTCTGCTCTTCAGCTGGGGCAAGCCCCTTGTCTAAGTGTCTCGGCTGTGTGAGAGGTGGGTAGGGCGTTCTGCCTTAGAAACAGGGATGTGCGAAACGGCTGTCACTTCCCATGTGGACACTTCTGCACGGGGTTTAGATTTCCCCCACTGTGCTGCGGGCTGCTCCCTGGCCTTTACCATTTCCCCCAGTTTTGTGTGGCTTTTGAACCACTGCCAATTTAAATTTGTCCTAGCCAGAGGCCACTCCATTCAGAGGTACAGACTGAGTCATCAGGATCCTAGGGGGAGAACAGTGGTACCTAAGAGGAAGAACACTCAAAAGGGACGATGGCTCCTTACATGGGGCTGGAGAGGCGATGAGGCAGCTGGGAAGTAGCATCGCTGCAGGGCACAAATAAACTAGTGAGGAGTTCCGGTCAGCTCATTGGTTTCAATCTATTTCTTTTACCTCTAAACCTAAGGCCTAGAGAGCAGAAAGGCTGATGGCACTGCTTGGGCAGGTCAGGGAGCACAAGGTATTCCCAGGCTCCCTGAGACTGGCACAGGGACTGCTTGGGCAGGGGCTCCATTGCCCGGCTATGTGACCTGAGGTGATTACTTAATCCCTCTCAGCTTCAGGTTCTTTGGCTTTGCATGGATTTAAGGATAGTGCTCACCTCTTAGGGTTGCTCTGAGATAACACAGACAGAGGGTTCAGCAGGTGTCCAGGGCTGTGTGGATCCTGATAGATGGAGGCTTAAAAGACACAGGTATCTTTCCTTTCAAGCTTATAAATCTAAGGAAAGTTTAATCAAAGCCCCCAAAATAGTCATTCCCTGTGGACTGCTCTGGAGAGGGGATGTCTCCTAATGTCAGACAGAGACTGGGGAGTAGGGTGTCCATGGATACTGTGACTAGGATGGTTACAAGTGGGAGTGTCTCATCCACCACCAGCCAGGGCAGACAGGCTAAAGAAGAAGGCATCACCCAGGAGGGTCCTGGTCAGCCTTCACATTTGGAGAGGCCGGGCTTCCCCTAGAGAAAGTGACTCCTACTCTTATCCGTGTTTGCATTTATATTCTTTAAATTTCAGCATGACTTTGATGCCAGAGACACTGGATGCCACAAACAAGCAGTTTTATTTCCCCTCCTAAACCCCCTGTGATTTACTGGCTGGCTCTGGTGTAATCCCATTCTTTCCTCATGAAAGGGAGGGCAGCTGTTTCCACGGCTGTGGGACGAGGTCTGCCTGACAGATGTGGGCCCAGGGAGCACGGCACATGTGCTGCCTTTGGCATTTTGCCCTCTTAAAAGCTTTCAATTGATTATTTTAAAAAACTTTTTACTCCATGAAAAATGTAAATAAGTTTGTAATAACAGATGCTCTTTTATGGGAATTACTTTTATGCTTCAATTAAAATTTTCCCAATAGCCATATGAAAGAGCGTGAAATTATTACCTCCAATAAAGGCTCCCATTGCCTCGCTCTTCGGAAGCACCTTTCATCAGAGTAGATCAAAGTGCATCCAAAGCACTAATTAACTGAGCCTCAGAGCCATCTGTGAGCAAAGGTACTCCCTATGGCCTCACTTGTTAAGGAAAGTTAGGGAACAGCAAAGTTGATTCATTTGTGGAAGGTCACACAGCACCATGACAAAGGATAAACCCGTGGGAGGGTGGAAGAAACAGGAAGTACGGCTACTTAAACTCTGATCTACTTTGTAAAAGTAAAACAAAGGTCTTGAATCTACTTGGGGACTCATTCTGACACCTATAACACCTCCAGAGCTCCAGGGCAGGTTAAGTCACTGGATGCTTGGTGACCATGTTGTGCATGCCAGGTGCTCTTTCTATCTCTGTTAACTTTTTATTTGATATGTATTTAAATGGTTTTGACTTTTAAAATGGTGGTCCATGCATGCTTTTGATAGGAGATTAGAATAAGGAAGTCCAGGGACTGAAAATGGAGAAGGCTGCCTAAAACAACAGGAAGCACGTGGGAGTCCCCAGCTCATCCTCCCACATAGGGGTGCAGAAACTTTGGCACAGGCTTGCACTTTCACTTGGTTTCTGCTCAGGAACTTTCCTGCGCCCTTCTCAGTCCCCTCGAACCAGGGCCTGGGCAAGGAAGTCTTTATCCTGCCCCTGTGCTGCTTGTTAGAGGTGGCAGTAAAAGGCTCCCGAGCATCATTGTCAGGCGCAGCCACAGAGCTCCTCAGTGGGGTCTTTTGGTGGGTCTCAGTGATCACGTGTGACTGGGCCAAGGAGAAAGGGTGAGCCAGGGGGACGGTGGCAGTATCTACCTGTGGACAGGGCCTTCTGAGCAACCCAACAGGAAGTACACTCAGAGCTGGTGCTGTGGCACCACCCGAGGCACAGAATGTCAGTGTTGGTAGAATTATAGGGACTTCCTCATGGGAAAAGACAAAACTCCACTCTTTCTGTTCCTTGTGAATGTGAAAGGCAAGTGCTAGGGTGAGAGAGCTGCTTTCCATACATGGCAATGGCCTAGGATGGCTGCACAGGGTTACCTGGGAGGACAGTGCAGCCTGAGGTTCAGGAGATGCCACTGCTGCTGCCCCATGGCCCTGCTCCTGACAGGAGGGCTCAGGAGCAATGGTAGGTGCTCCATCCAAGCCGCGCCACTACAGCAATCCTGGCACGGCCCCTTTGGCCCCAAATGCTAACAAGTACAGCTTTCTAAAGGCCTTTTCTGTTTGTTTCAGGGCTCAATCTCCAGCATTCTAGAAGCTGGTGACTTAGAACCCTGGCAAGGAGGGCCCTGGAGAAGTGACAGGCAGTGAGGCCCCATTTCTGAGGTAGCACTGCTCTGATAGGCCCCCGCATCATGGCAGTGTTGTCAATATACTCTCCCTCTAAAAGTTTCTTTAGCTTCCAGAACAGACCTAAGACATGACACAGGATGGATGATTATGCCCGTTTTACAGAGTTGGGTGCATTTATGTGCCATGGAGAAGGCTAAGCCAGGACTCTACTCCAGGCCTAATACCAATACCCCCAAAGAATCTGAATACTGCTTTCTGGCACTGGGAAGTGGGCATCCAGGGAAGGAGTGGGATGTAGCAAAATCCTACCTGCATCCTCTGCTCTTAAAAGGCTACTCTGCCAGTGGTGTGCCTCTGGGTTGTCTGTCTGTCTCAGGGTTAAGTATGCATTGGTGAGTCTATCTGGGGTATCTGAGGGTTATGATGCAGCCAGGCCCAGTACTGTCGTATTATCTCCTAACTCTTTGTTCAGTACCATCAGGTCCTGTTTGTTCATCCGCAGGCCATCAGATCAACTAGAGCAATGGGACAGGAGGTAAAGGATGCTTGAGAATAAAAAGGTAAGGAGAAGGGAGGCAAATCGCATAGTTCCAGGCTTATTCTGGGAAGGTCACTCTTTAGCATTCCTATATTCCATTCACACCTCCTGCCTTCTCCACTTAAGTTTTAGTGTCCTTCTGAACTCCCCAAGTCTCTGTAATCCCCTTCAATGATGACACCTGCTGTCATAAATCACATTCTGTATCATCCTTGGGCCTCATGTCTCATTATCTCTTTCAACTGCCCCTCACCACTGTTTAATGCTTCCATTCTTCCCTAGTTCATGCTTCTGGACTTCCTGACAGAGGCAAGGCATGAAAGCAGCCTCAGGAGGCCTTATAGAGTGCCAGTTCCATAGTTAAGGGCCATGGATGTAGAGAGATGCACCTATGATGGATATGATAACACGTGTGTCCCCTACCTGCCGCTGCCAATAGATGGAAATGCGATGGATTTCAGCTTCTTATCATCAGCCAGGGCCAAGCAATTCTTTACTGTCTTTTCCAGAAGTTCTTCACACTTGTCAGCACCCCAGACGGGGCTATTACAGTGGATCACAAACTTGGCGGGTAGGCCGTGACCTGCACTGACAGCAGCTGGAGGGGATGAGACAGAAACACGTATCACAGGATGCCAAAATCCAGCCCACTCTGCGGCTCCAGTGTCCAAGGAGGAACACAGCTGTCTGCTGTGCTGTGACTCCAGTGTCAGCTTAGGAAAATGTTCAGGATTTATTCTCCTTACACAGAAAGGCAACAGGGAGCCAATCCCACCCCTGGAAAGCTGGAAGCATCCCTACCAGGAATTTTAACAAAGTTTGTAGCAGAGCCTCTGTCTACCTTTGAAGCATGCAGGTGCTCCCAGGAGGCAGAACCTTATCCACCTAACTCCACTGGATGTGTCAGGATGGTAACTGTGATGTACCTCTAAATCTCCCAGCCACTATTCAAGACAAATCCACTAGGAAAGTGCTGAGCTCCCTGGCTGCCTACTGTGGCCAGCCTCACTGGGTGACTGACTGCACCTAGTTGTGCAGGCTTAGAGTGGTCCTTTAGGATGCAGCTTTTCCTGAAAGAGAAACAGATTTCCAGCTGCATATGTCCACAGGGGTTTGTCTCCCTCTTGTCATACTTATGGACCCAGGCCTCAGGTCTACTTGTCTCCCTATCTGAAAGAGGAGAAACAGGGGGAGGAGTGATTTGTGGGCAGTGTCTCAGGTGCTATAGGAATAGCTCTAAATTAACAGTCCAGGCTCTGAGCTTGAACTGTGGCTTCGTTCTGTGACGGTTCACAAGCTCTGGGCAGAAGTGCTGCCCCACAGCAACCTGCCATTTGGAGGTTTAATTCCGTTTGTCCAAATAAGAAGCCACTGCTAAATTATGTATGGAAAAGAAACATTAACAGAGATTATCTCTGGGCCGAAGAAAAGGGATATATCTTATTCTCTTCTTTATACGTTAAAAAAATAGTTTGAAATATTTCTAAAATCTCTCTTAGAAACAAGAAAAATATCTGAAGCATGCTAAATCTAATGGGTTTGTTGCAGGCAGACCTGCAGTTTCACCAGCGGAGCTAGTCATGATGGCAACAGGCTGCTTCCAATTAGACTGCTCTGAGAGTTACCAGAAACACTGGTAGGAAAGGGACTGGGGAAAGGCCAGCAGCCTCTGGCTGGGTGCACCTTTCTCTGCACATGTGGGACAGTGGTGGAACAATGAGAAGGACTTTCGCTCTTCTCCTGTCATGCCCCTTACAGGCAATACAAGAATCAGCAGAGCAGGAGTCAAAGGCTCAGATCAGCAAAGGGAACGCCACTTGTTTACCCCAGTAGGCCCAAGACTACCCCTGACTGGGGGAACAACAGCAAGGCCTAGTGGCACCACTGAGAAAGGGCCTGTGTAGATGTTAGGAAGTAATTATTGAGATTCACTTTTAAAACAGAAGCAGGATTTGACAAACAGAATGATCATGGAGGCTCATAGAGCGAAAGGAGAAAACCAGAGCCCATAGAGAAGAGGGGGAGGGCCCACTCTCGTGCACAGCTCGGACGTGGCACAATGCATTCCTGCATACATTCAGGAGGGCTCTGTCCTGCATACTCTGTCCACCTAAAATTCCAAATTCAGGCCTGCAGCTATAAGCACCTTGCCTCTAGGTCTTAGAAGTACTTCTCATGTCAGTTTCCCAGTCATATTCTTCCCTCTCCCATCAGGAAAGGTACAAGTGGAAAATGAGAAACATATATCTATATATTTTCCATTAAAAATACAGATGGCTGAGTGAAGATTATTGATTTGCATCTTTCACCAACAGTTTTGCGGATGGCTCAGTATTGCTGTCTGTAATTCCCAGCACTAAGATCTGCCAATCTCAGGTTCAATAATTCCTTAAAATTTCTAGTCTAGATGCCATTTAGAAGGTATTTTAAATCACTTTTTAAAAAATTACACAGGTGACTTTCATAAACCTTAAGCTCTCTTGATAATTTGCATATGATAAAATTCTAAGCAGTAAAGCTCGCAGGCTTTCCACCTTGGAGATGCATTTGCACCCCTGAATTCTAAACTCTCTCCCCAATACCACACATGCCATACCCAAATAAGCACAGGGGCTTCCCCATCTCACCTCCAGCTACTTCCAAGGGCCCATTTTTTTTCCGGAGTTCCAGAACAGCTTCCACAAACTCCTTGCCACCTTTCTTCTCCAGCGTGTTTCCTAAACAAGGACAGGGCAGGGTCAGACTGCCACTCTGTGTCTTCCAACACACAGAGACACTTAACATGTCAGGTGATTACATACTTTAGATGATCTGACTAGCTAAATTTCTATAAGACTGCAAAACAGGAACTATGCTTTGGCTAATTCAGTGAAGTGAAATCTACAAGGGATTTACCATAGCCCAGTTATCACTCTGGCACTGCTACTTTCCCTAGATATCTTTGCTGTGCCTTATTTGGGTCAAACTCAGGATGATGTTGCCAGAGATGAGATGTCTATTCCCAGAAAATATGCCTGTCCTGCATACTCTTCACATGCATAAGAAATCAGCTGGTGCTGGCTTTCAAGGCTAACACCCACCCCGGGTTTTCTTCCCCATCTCTGGGAAGAGGGCCCAAATAAGGACGTCTGCAAAGGAGATCATGTTCCTATCAGGCAGCCAGCTCTCCTCCTGGCAGGAGGCCCAGAAGAAAGTGTTCATATTTGGCCACCTCTGGACAAGCATTACATGCTTAGTTCCTATTTTGCAGCTTTGGCATCATATGTGAATACAAAAAGAAAATGGCCTCAGACAGTATTTTCTTAATTACACTAATGATTTGGAATCATTTTAGGGAAAGGAGGGCAACATCAGAAGCAGAGCTTAAAGATGAACTTGTATGAAAGCTTAGAAAGCTGTCTATCTGCTCAGGACTAGATTTAAAACAAGCAATGGAAGTTAGAACTGTGCTTTCTTGAATTAGGGTACTTGCCAGATTATCATTTACTGCTATAAAAGCCAAGTTCCCAAACAAGATTACCAACATCTATGACAACTTTGGGTTGACCATCTTATGTGAGCTAGCAAGCAGCAATCAAGGTTAGTGGTGCTCCCTTTAAAAGGATTATCCTTTAAAATTTGGCCAGAATATAGCCTTGTTCTTCCTTAAGCTCTGGTTCCTCAGGTCTGCAGATTTTAAAGTACTTTTCCTCACAAGAGGATAAAATACTCCCCTTAAGATTCACCATTTGTCTTGAAATATTCAAGATGTACCTGGCACAATTCTGGCATATGTCGGTCAAGGGGTATTGAAATACACCAGCCCAAATTCTCTTTGGATTTACACTGCAGTAACCAGGTCTAATTATATTAGCAAAACCTGCCTCATTCTCATACTTGTTTCACAGAGGTGAGCTAACCAGGAACTGTCTGGAAGGAAAAGCAAATAGCCTGGGCATTGTTAGAAAAGAAGATAGGACCAGGGCTAATGGCAGGGACTGAACCTGTCACTTCCCCACTGCAGAAATGTAGAGCATGTGAATGAATGCAACCAACAGCCTACTGCCCACGAGGAGCTCTCAGCTGTCTAAAAGAAGGCTGGACTTTAGAAGAGAGATAACTTGGATGCTTCAGATGGGATCCTGTATTGCTCCTTGTTATCTCAGATGGCCCTCATGTTTTCAACTGTCCTGAAAAGCAGTGTAAACTTTACATGGCAGGTGTCACTTCCAGTGACTTCCTACCTGCTGCTGCATGTTTGTAATGAAGTTAAGCATCAGAGGCAGCAGTTGAAGGGGCCGTGTGCTGAGGAAGCAGGTTCTGGGTCTCTTGTCCCTGTTCTACCCACCAGGAAGTGGATACAGCACAGATGTGTTCACCTGAAATACAGGTTCCCCTGAAATATCCATGCAGCTGAGAAAAAGCAATGTGGAGCCCAAATCAGCTAGATCCCTGGTCTAGTTTTCCCCCTTTAACTCATACTCAAGCTTGAGGGGAAGAAAACAAATATGCAATAGGTTGGACTATTTAAGGTTCTCATTCTCTACATCTCTACATTTACTGAGAACCAGGACCTTTGGAAAGTAGAATAAAATCAGTACTATATTAATGAAGATGATCAACTTCTTTTTAAAATTTAAAATATTTCCTAAGAAAATGGGCTGATTTATAATTAAAGGTGTTTTATCTTAGGAAGAGTGTTTACTTTAAAATACTTATAATTAAATATTACTTTAATTAGAAGTGAAATTGCAAGTTAAAATAAACTTAATGCATTTCCCAAACTTAAAAATAGAATCCTAGGTTGCAGGCAATCAATCCAGTCAGGACTTGACTCCTACACACACATATGTATGCACATGTTCAGGTAGACACACGTGTACTTTTTAACAAGAAACAGGCCCATTTTCAACACTCTTATTGTAAGACTCTTACTTTTTAGCCTTAACTTCAGGGTTAATCATAAAGCAATTGGCTTATTTGCCCCCAAGCATAAACATGTGTTACTCCCATGAGAACAAGAACATTATTTCATGCTTAGAAAGCAGGCATAAGTATCAGTGTTCAAAACAGCCTGAGCGAAAATTTAGGCTTGGACAAATGTCAGGCTAAGCCTGTGGTCTATTTCACTGTTAGAAAGAACTTTTGATGGGTAAAAGTTAATCACTGGGGCTAAGCATTCCTGCACTCGAATTCCTTCTTCCAGCAGTCTTGGGACTCAGGAATTCACAC